ACGACCCGGCACGGCATTTACCACAGCATTCGGCAATTGACCCTCGCGTCTCGAGTCCACGGTGGGAATCGTACTTCCGGCCCGTGCGTCCGACAAATGAGCCGAACGCGGGGTTTGTCGATGCCGATCGAGCGAGCGTACCTAGGCGATTCACAGCGCGGGGTGTGCCAGCAGGCACGTGCATCGGCTGACATGAGCCTTTTTCTAAGTACATATGTATGTCGGACGGTCGCCGCTCTCTCCGGCCCCGAGGGTCTAGTCGGGGCCGTTCGATCAGGACCTTCCTGAGTTGAGAGAGTCGTTGCCGGGCGAGCTTCCCTCGATCGGAGACATAGATACCTCAGACCGAGGGGTCAGCCCAAAAGTCGATGGAATCATTTGGGAAGTCAAATGCTTGCTCATATGTATCATGCGGACCAAATATCGAATCATCAATTTTCTTCCGACCTAAAACGCTTTCAGGGAGAAACCTTCGTGGTAGAAGACTCTGCTGTAATACATTTGCCTCTTGGAAAGATTGTGCTCATGCGGAGCGAGTTGTAGGCTCAGAAAATGAAAACAGCTGAAAGTTCCTCCGACAGAAGCGGGGCGGCCTTCCTTCCCGCTCGCTGTCGAATGCTATACTTGTGGTCCCGAAAACTGCGAGTCGCCTCCGTCATTATTAGGGCCTGGAACTTCAGGCACTCAAAAACTCGGAAATAGGCAGGCAAAAAGGCATCAAAAATCGTCGGAAAAGGCACTTTAAACGATCGAAAAAGGCATTTATTATGTTCGATTATGCGGGTTGCACATTGCTATTATGTGGTATTTCGCGTTCTCGACGGTGAGACCATGTCTCTGATCCGATAGCAAAGCTTTATATCGTGAGAAAGAGCGCTCAACGTCCACGCTCACCATAGGCGCATATTTATAACATGAGATCTCTGTCGGCGAAAGATGAGAAATCACGGCGTCTGTATTCCTGCCTTGTAGTGCGTCTCTTATTTCGACCAGTTCCTCATAGCCGGGGTTCTTCTCCTTAACTTTTTGAACTTCTCCTGGATGGACTCGGCGACGAAACCTTCAGCTGAGTTGATTCTCGCCTCAAGTTCTTCAAAGCATCCGATTGTCGAGCTCAGAGATTTTTTCGAGTTCTCAAGGCTCGTGATCGCACCGGGCACACTCGCGAAACTTGAGGCTACGAATGTCAGCTGGCTTCTCAAGCCGGGACGCTCTAACAAGTCTTTCGACTTCCGAATGGCAGCGGCCTCGCTGCTATCCAGATTTTCTACCACACTTCTGACGGTATCGAAGTTCGTTGCGTAATACAAAGCGGCGCACAACCATGTCCCCCATCGCGTCACGATCGGCTCGGGCGGAAGTGCCAAATTCGGCGCTTTGGCTCGGAAGGCTCGGATACGTGACGGAGCCTTGAGGAAGACTTTCTTAACATTCGCGATCAGAGAATCAACTTCGGGAAACAGAATCCGGATTTCCTCGCAAACCCTATGAATTCCGTGGACTATACAGGTCGAATGGATCATTTTCGGGAAAACAACTCTTAGTCCGACACCAGCCTTCTTCATATACGGAGCTGCATCGGAGACAATTAGCAGCACCCGGTCATGTTGGATTCCCTTGGGCCACAAAAGGCTCAGAGAGTTTAAGAACGCCTGGGCGACTGTCGCATGGTTCGTTTGCTCGACAATTTCTGATCCGATGAGAAACGCTTCCGAAGGTTCCCCGGGATTCAGACAGCCAATTATCGTGTTGACAACGTACTGCCCTTTAGCATCAGTTGTCTCGTCCACTGACACCCAAATTCGGTTGTCACCTACCACTCCGCGAATTCGTTGGAGCGTCGCGTCATACAGTTTCTTGAGGTAGGTTTTGCGCAGCGTTGTGTGATCGGGGATTTCATTCTTGCAGTACTTCTGTAGAAAACTCCGGAAGGAGAGATTCTGCAGCTTGAAGAGGGGAATGTTTGCTTCGTCCAACATCTGACATAGATCCATATTGAAATGACTTTCCTCTCCGACAAATCCAGGAAGTTCTTCAGGTAGACACAGATTTTGATCTCCGTTTGAGGGTCTCCTCATGCGTTCTTGATGCATCACAGAATTAACGTGCTGCTGCACAAAGTATTTCTTTTCTGTGTTCACCTCTTTCTCACACACCCTGCAGGTGAGCACGATTCCATCGGTCATGAAAAATTCTGCTCCAAACTCTTTCACATAGAGTTCATTCTTCCTTCTCGAACACAACTTCTGTTTCGGCATCGCGTACAACTTTATCTTAAGAGAAACGCCGTGAACAATTCGAAAGGGAAGGATTTTCAGAGCAGGAAATACATACACCTGAATCTTCTCGATACAACCACTATCGAGCGCACAGCTGAAAACAAGAGGTGTTCGCTCGGCACGTCACTCGAACGGGAATCGCGGCACGACGCAGACTTCCGAATCAATGAGACGGGCTCTCTCGAGCTTCGAGAATGCTTCTAGCGCCGGATATCATCTACCCGGAGCCTGGAATTGGGGCAAAAAAGGCAAAATGCCTGGGCGAAACGTGAAAAAGGCAAGAGTTCGCGAGAAAGCTGAAAATGGCGAAATCTGGCATTTATGGCATTTTGCCTGAAGTTCCAGGCCCTAGTCATTATATTTCGAAAGCCTCACCATGCCACGACTCAGAATCAGCAAGTGAGGTTTCGTCCCAGTCAACCTTATGGGGCGCACCCCATTCCTCAACTTGGGTGAAGCTCCGAGATGCCCTCCATGCCTTCGATATCCAATCTCATCAGGTGGATATCGACCCTCACCTCCGAAATCTCCAAGCGAAAAATCCTTGTGGGAATTTTTCGGCGAAGGTGATATCCACTCGATGCGATTTCTAGAAAAGAAGGCATTTGGAGAGACGTCGCGCGATTGGCGCCCTCCGAGGACTCCCGAAAAGCTTGTCTACGTTCATAAGATCGCAATGTCGATAATCATCCTCTGGCCAGGAATATAGGCGGGCTGCAGAATTGGAAACCGCAATTTCAAACGCCAGAAGGAGAGATGCGGCTTCCCATCCTCGACCGAGCGCCACTCGCATCAAGCACCCGACAATCTCGCCGGTTGTTGTTTCCGTTCTCTCCCATCGAGATAAGTTCGGAAATCCAGTACAATAAGTCCCCCATGGAGGCAGAGCAGAACCTCGACTCCGGCATTGTCGAGACAGGCGCAGAGACGGGTGGCCACTACCGAAAGATGGAGACAGCACAAGCTCGGCGTCGATTCCGGGGAATTCATAAACCGCTCGTCTGCATAAACATCGCTCAGCTTGTAGAGCACCTCCTCCTCGCCAGATTTGATCTCAATGAACTGTTCTTCTTCTGAGGAAAACAAGAGCCTCCCGTGAGCACCACGACAGGAGACCCGACTGAGGTGGCTCCGAGTATATGAATCGAAAAGTTGAGTCAGAACTTGAGTCGACCCTCGGAATTCGGTGAGGGAGTTCCCTAAACAAGAGGCCATTAACCGGGCTCGACGCTCAGCGAGAGCACATCATCCAATCGAAATCGGCCACCGACCTATGATACTGCGGAAGCATGCTTGAGCCGTGTCACTACATACACATACTCGCCGCCGAGCTCATTCCTTCCTTGAATTCCTCTGGCAAGATTTCTCATAATGAACAAGTCCGTACAATAACTCGTTTCAGTGAGGTCTGAGCAAGTATCGCGCCGACTTTGAGCAATAATCCAGGATGAGCCGGTGACTCCTAGGCTCTCCAACAATACTCTATTCGTTTTCCCGGGAAAACTTCTTAGGCAATCGATATCTGCAGGAGATAGATCGGAGGGAGCGGATCTCCTGTCGAATGAATTCGCGATGAACGTTATTTGGAAGGCCAATCCATTGTGAGAATGAATGTTCAAGCAGGAAAACGGCCGCGAAAGAGAGAGGGGTAAACAAAACGAGAAATATCGGATCCCGCGAGGCTGCCTCTGCAATTGCTCCTTCGACCGATGATATCCGAGGGATTAGAGGGGAGGAATTGCGATCGCCCGCCGAAGAACACACCCACGCGAGTTCTTCTCACTCGCACCGCTGGATTTCTCTGTCGTTGATCCGGGATCATTTCATCCGCGGAGACTGCGTTCGAGATGTTTCGCGAGGCAAAAATTATTCGCTCCGGCGAGATATACGAGACCTTGAGGCGAGAGTTCTACGTTGCAACAGTGAAACGGAATTCCGTATGCAACGAGGCCGTTCGCAACGTCGGCCGTTTCTGCGATAAGGCGCGTTGGTTCAATGTTTTTTTCCCCGGAAGGAGTTGGGCTCTCCGGCTTGGAAAACAGGACAACCTCCGTTAAAATAGCATTACCCCCAACAGAATGAGGGACTCGACCGGGACCTCGCAGGCGGCTGGCAACTCTCCTGTTCAAGCAGCTTTCTCCAAATCCTCAACGAAGAGCCACAGGCCATGGAGCTATTCTTGCCGCCGGCCCGTTCAGGGCGCGCGCTTGCAAGCGGGCGGGCGGTCCCATCCGAGCAAGCTGCTCTGTGCAAGCTACTCGAGAGGAAATGAAGGTCATCCCCGCCGGGGGCATGGCACGTTACCGAGTACCTGCCGGCTCTGAACACTCATTCATGATGCAGCTGAACATGACTTTGTGATCATTTTAGCTGGAGGGAGCCACACAGCAGAATGCCGCATTTTCTCCCAAATGTATAATAAGCATGAGCGGCGGCAGCAACGACGAGACGACACCTGCTGTGGGATAAATCTTCGATCGGTGCTCCGAATGTGGAGCACCGAATCCCGAAACGTAAGCATCCTTCCGTCTCCGAGGTTCCCGGTGCGTGCGTTGTTATGCCCCGACCACCGGACCAAAAACCTCTCGACTTCCGACGGCGACGGTCCCGCGCGATTCATCAGCCTCTCTATTTTGAAGACCGATTCTCCCAATTCGAGTCTACAATGAGGCAGAGCTCGTATCAATGAAACAGCGTAGCGAATTTCCGCATTCGACTCACCTTGGTCGTCCCGGTTTTCTCCTGTCGTTGTTCTTTGCGCTTGAGTTCCTTCTCTCGCTGCGTCCACTTTTTCAGTTGCTGTATCCGTCTCTTCTTGGCGTGCTTCAGCCGCTCTTGGGTGGACATCCGCTCCAAGGTCGTCATCTCCTCGACGAGCTCGTGGTGCTCGGCCATTATTACCGGAATCGTTTTCGGGCCTTGTTTTCACCGACCAATCAGCACAAATAATTCCTCAGCTCCGACGAATGTCCGCTGCCGGTTCGCTAGCTCAGAACTCGGCGGCAGCTTATCCGGACTTGGTGTTTATACATTTATATGTACAGAGTTTGATCCCGCGAAACTAGATTAGCGACTTTACGAAATGATCGTCGTCACATCATGCGTTACTGTCCTTCGACGTTACACTTTCTTGTCCGTGAACTTAGCACAATGATTTCGGTCCTCGGAAGAAAAGTGCTTCGATTTTCCGGCTTACGGTTGATCATGATTCGCGGCGGGTCTGCTCCCTCCTGAAAGAAGAAAAATATATTGGATTATTCAGTTTCAAGTTGTTGCTTTCGGGTGAGGGACTTTGGAGCCCTCCACTCATAGAACTCTTTTTTCTCGGTACGATAAGAGGTATCCGAGGCGTGTCGGATAGCCGGCCGACGAGCCACGCGCGGCTCTTCAGCTAAATAATTTGCGCGTTTTCCCGGGCTGAATATTCGCCGTCTATGACGTCTCATTGTACTGAGGTGACATCAAGACCACGACCCACGGACCGCGAAGCTCCGTCCGGGAGCCGAGATTCGACCTCACTCACAGGAATCTTCCTCGGAAATCTTAGGCGGAAGCTGAACGGGAGAGAGCCGCTCTGAGCTCGGTGGCTGATTTCGGGAATATCGAGGAAGCTACATGTAGTGAGTAAGAGAGAGCGAAGAGTGATCGGAGCGTGCGAACAGCATTGAAATTATCGTTCTTCGAAAACAACGAGTCCAAACGACATCGACGGCGCTTCGGTCCTGCGTTTCGATAGCGGGCGGTTAGCCGAACACGTTCTTTTCAGATCGATGAAGCCAGACGTACTCTTGGGCAACATCGGGACCGAGGTGCGATAGCTGAACTCAGCACAAAGATTCCGCAGGTTTTCAACGCTCAGCTTGCTGGCGAATACGGTCGCGATCTATGAATTCAGCCGAAGCAGCGGTTTCCGGAGCAAGTTTCCTCCTCGGTTCACTGATTTCATGCCGCATTCGGCGATGAAAACTGCGAGAAATCAATATTTTCTTTCTTCGAAAGTCCCTCAACTCGCACCAGACTAATTAGCTCAAACCCATGCGGGAACTCTCGCTCCCGGGATCTGACATTATCACTCGACTACCAATGAGAGCGATCTCTGCCAAAAAACGAAAAATGAGCGTGATCGCGTCATACCGTGACCCGAGCAAATCCTACTCCATGCTTTTCCGTGCACCGAGCCGGTGCACGCGTCGTGCGGATGATTATTACAGCCCAATAGCGAATTAGAATTCGTTGCTGCTCCCGAAAACGCCCCTCGCATCCACGAGTTCCACGGTGGATGCAGGGTCCGTTTCGGCCGGCAAGCCCGGAACGCGGCGCGCGCACGCCGCACACTGATTTTGAGCAGCTTGACGCTCTTCTCTACATAGCGGTACTTTGAATGTTGGTGTTGGTGGCCACGCGGATTCCCACGTTTTTCTCCGGTGGAAAAACTGCAGCGGAACCAGAGCTGACCGAGCAAAAAGCTGACCGAGAGGCCGACCGACCGTTGAGACGCGTTCAAAGCCGCCGCCAGCGCCGTCGAAGAGTTTCTGTGATTCCGACCGACGCTACCAGTCACCCGACATCGACCCACGAACTTAACACGGTGACCACTTAAGCCGTGGGAGAACTCCTTCCCAAAGTCAGAACACCGTCCGTCTTCTTCGTTCGTTTCCCGACCGCCGGATCACTGGAGGAGCGCCTGGCCGAAGCTCATTTTTTGTCGGTCTCACTTTCCGAGCGAGCGCCCTGGAAATCTGTGAAATTCATTCGTATTCCTTCTGCCGCACCGCCCTCTTCGTTGACGGCTGCATCGCTCCGAATACGCTCGACGGCCTAGCATGCATTAGTTTTTTTTCGTGAAATTCTCTGGTGATGGAATTCCAGCTAGTCGAATATCGGAATTCCGTCAGGATTTTTTTCATTGCGTGTGTCACGCTAGGGACGGCGCGCTTGAGTAGTTTTCCGCGTCTCCGATGAAGCGTTGAGATGGAGCTCAAGTAAACTTGGAACGGAACCAACGAGAATCGGAATAACAGCCACATTACCAACGAGCGACTCCAAAATCCACGACACTGAGCTTTTGACACGGCGGCCGTTGCCACAGAGAATGGACGGCGATCAAGACCGCCATCGGCTTGGTTTTCAGCGACCGGCACCGAAAAAAGCGTGAAACCGCTCGCGTTACGTTGATGACCCTACTTTACTTGCAGTACTGATACAGATCGCCGTGTTATACGACGCGATATCTCTCTTTTCGCAATGACGAGTCTGAAAATGGGGAGCCTGGGTTTCCGGCGCGATCGCGAGCGTCGTTCCCAAATATGTCTCTGTTTAATGTTAACGGTGCGGTATCGCCTCCCACAGCAAGGGTCCAACGACTATGGAATTTTAGCAAGACCGTTCCGGGACGAATAAAAGACTTGCTTTTCAATGGTCGAGAACAAAAGCTTCTCGCTCCCGGCCGATGCGGTGTAGCGTCAATGACTCGGCAAGCGAATCAGTGACATGAGCCGACCGACGCGGTGATGGAATCCCGATTTCGAAGCGACTGCAAGCAAAGTTTTGCTCGAATAATTTCCGATTCAAAAATCAAATAGAGACTTTCAAATCCTCGCGGAATAGTCCGGAATCATTAGGCTATCAGACGCGGTCGCGATTTATTTCCTGTGATAATAATGATTCCGCGTAGCGCGGCAACGAATCACGAATGCACACATCGATTTCGGTGGTCGACGTTTGATGCGGTGGGAACGCTCGGTCGCCATACTTCGCCAGAATATTTTTAACAAATCGGAACGTGCCGAAGTTTCAGAGTTCCGTCAACGGGAAACGAACCGCCGTGCTTTCCATAAAAACTGATCGTTCCGCGTTCCGAAGTGCACCCCTCGTATAGACATGCAAATTCTGGGCCTTTTTCGCGGTTCCCATACGTTCGCGCCACGCGGCCGCGATCGTCACCCCGAGCCCATGTCTGCGGCCACGTTCTCCTGCTCCCGGCCCGGTAGAACAGTCGCGAACAGCAAATATCTATCTGAGCTTGTAGCTTTTTCTCGAGGCTCTCGCCATTTTGTCCGAGCTCAGCGGAGAGAAGGGTTTTCGCTCATTCCACCAGAGTGAGTTTTCCTACTCCTCGGGTCGAAGATGCGGTTTTTTAGATATTTCCCTGAGATTCCCTGTGAGGGATAATTTCCCCCGCATTGACCGGTAGCTCGGACCACACTCTGTTTATCTAGGCTTCATAAGCTCCTCACAGTTCATTAGCCCACTCTCCGTCTAAGAGCAACGAGAGTATACATACTCGAAGCGAAATCTCAAGCGTCATGGGGGAACTCTCGGATTCCTGATTTATTCCCTTCAGCCGAAGGGAAGCAAGGGGAGCACACTCTCTCGACGTTTGCTCAGCGAGGGGAGCCATTTGACTCGTCAGTGAGCAGAGCATTTGCATCGGAATCGAGAAATTATGCATTTCATCAGCCATCTCGGGCAACAGAACATCTCCAGAGAATGAGCATGTCCAGGGTTCGCGGCAATAATTATTATCGATTCGCCTCTCTGGCTGCCCTGTAGCTCCGATGTTTCAGCTGTGAGTCGGCGCAACTCGAGCTGATGGAGCTGTCGCTCCCATGAGAGTCACATGCTACGCTATGCTTCGGAAGGAATTACACGATGTTATGCAATTGAATTAAAGCCTCTCTGAACGGCTCTCGATCGGAAGACGCTTATTAAAAAGGCCCTGCTTAGGAGGGTATAACGATTTGTTTGCTCGGAACCCATTCATCTCTATGAGGATGCGATCTCGTTGATGTAAACATCGTATCACTCTGAAACTCAGCGCAATCAAAAGTTTCGAGAGCGAGCCGGCAAGCGGGTCGGCGATGGCACATCTTTGATCCTTCAGGAACGATAATGAAATTGTTTCATCTGATCGGCCTTCCGCAAACATTCTCCAGCAGCGGCTCTGAAGGTCATCTGGGCTCCCTTTGACGGTGTAGGCTGGAGTTCCTCTCTAGAAATCAGCAGGAGTTTTTTGCCAAGCAGCTAGAAGCGATCCACCGGCAATGAACTCATGAATGTGAGACCACCAATCCGGGTGATTGAGAAAATAGATCGAGAACATCACTCGACTCGGAAGATCATCATCCGACTCTGGGGTCGGAGACGTCCCGCACAAAAACTCGAAGAGCCGAAGGAATGAGCTCCGTTGTCCTCTCTTGAAATTCCTTCTCGATGTGAACGTGCAGACAGCGTAAATATCGTCAATCTGAATTCCTGACATGCCGTTCGCAGGTTGCTTTCGCGAACGGAACATAAAAAAAAGGTGTTCGAGGAAGATTCGCTTCTGCGACTTCTGTGATGTCAGAATGCCTAGACGGACATTTCTGTTGGAGATATCAGGACATCTTCGACTCGGCACCGTGTTGCGACGGGAGCGAGTTCCCCACAAATCGATGATTTCAATCCGAGGATTTCGATACTCCGCGCAAGGATGCGCGAGCTTGCCGACTCGAGATACGGAATGCGGAAATGTAGCATCCATACGTCAACGTTCGCGTGTCCACCGGTTATGCCTCCGATACTCGTCGATCGAACTGACGGTCACGGATCCGACACGCATGCACATGGAGGGACAGGGAGAGACAAATAGGCCCTGGGAAAGCAAACAAAGGAGCCATATATCAAAGCACAAGACACAAGAACGATGATGTGGCACTTCGAGCAATCGTGATTCATATGCTTGCGGCAGCATGAGTGGCTATTCAGTCGACCGGCGTTCCGAGTATCGTAATTTTCGCCCCATACCGTAGACCGTCCAGCCTACACCGTCGCTCGCTCCGACTCCGTCCGAATTTCGCGAACCTCTCGTTTATGTCGTCTCGTCTCTTTAAGGAGTACGCCACGCCGTGTGTCGTAGGCTCTCATTAGGAGCTGAGCAAGTTTACGACGTTGACGGAGAAAGCCATGTTCGGCCAGCCCGGACGATATTT